GACTTGAAGCGCCTTGTTTTTACCTATTCTGAATCTAAAATAAAAAAAATAAAATAAATAATAGGATGCGGAATATGTTTTATTTCTTTAAAATACTTCTCTTAAAAAAAAAAAGGAATAACTGAGCATGATTTATTTTTTTTTTTACGTAGTACAAGTGACATATTTGGAGCATGCTTGTGTGATGGCTGCTGAATAATTTATTCTCACTCCATTATTTGTTCAGCTACCAGCTCACTGTAGTTAGGATTTACTCCAAACATGACGGTGATGCGATACTTTTCCACAAACACATCGCTTTCTTGCAGCCAAGAGATCGTTTATGTTTCATTCAGCTGAAAAGACATACGTTGGTACTTTTGGACAGTTTACTGTGAGAAATGGAAAACAGCGCACCAGGGCTGGAGAAGCAGCAGTAGGTTTTTTTATACAGGACCCAATCCACTGGCTCATAGAAGTGACTGAAAAACTTGATAAATTATCAACCACATTTTCATTTATCGGCTTTATCGTTTCTTCATGTCTCTCTTTCTACTGAAGACACTGGATGACAAAAAGCTCAACTCAGGTGCTCTTCACTGACTCCTCCCTTTCTCTTTAAAATCCATTTTAACCATCCAAAATCACATTTTTGGATGGTTAAAAGCAGCTAAGCTGACAAGCTAAGCTACAAGCTAAGCTAACAGGCTGACCTTCAGGAAAAATACCTCCGTCTTGTTGAAGCTCCAAAATTCACAGTTGAAAACCATCCCTTCGTCTAAAAAGTTGTTTTTCTGCTGCTTTTTTTGCAAAATGAAACTGAGATATTGTTTACTGATTTTTTTTAAAATTAAAGCTTTGTGTGACAAATGTTATGCTAAAGAGCTCAAACCACACGAGCATCCACCATTTTAAGCATCAAAGAGAGACAGCCCGTCAAGGGGCCTCCCTCCCATTTTTCTTAAAGAGACACGCTGCTTGCTCCCTCACTATCCATCCTTTGGTTCAGTCTTATACTGTCATCCAGTGGTCGAAAAAAGGTACTACACGCAAACAAATTAACAAACATTTCTTCTTAAATTTGACAATAATTACTAGTAATTACTGTCAAATTTCAAACAATATTATCGTTTATCGCAATAATTTCTGAGACAATCGGCCAGCAAAATTTGTTATCGTGACAGGCCTAGGGTCGATCAGCCTTTTGGACCATGGAAGGCCCAAAAGGCTGATCGAAGTTCTAAAAAATTGCCCAGCTGTCAGTCGCTACAACAGATTCATAGAAGGTTTGAGAAAGTTGATCAAAGCGTATGTAGACGATACCTCATTATATTAATTTAAAAATGTCTAATATCCCTCGACTATTTTATCAACTGCAATATTTAGACTGGTTTTATGAATCATTATCCAAAAGTCTCCTTTCTGGTAGAAATCAGTTAAGGTTTTTGATGCTTTGTACCGTGAAGTGGGAAAAAAAATTATATATTATATTATTGTATTTTCTCTAAAATGAGCAATAATAAGCAAGACTATTTTTCATATGTTTTGCTGTTAAACATAAACATTATTTAAAAAAAAGATTACCAACTAATTTGCAGAACGTCTGCATCGGCCTCTTACGTCTGCTGGCCAAAATGATACCATTCAGTTGTGGGCCGCACAAAATCACTCCAAGGGCCGCAAATGGCCCTCGGGCCGCACTTTGGACCCTGTGCTGTAGAGCTCTTTCTGTGTTAAAACTGACAATTTGGGGTGGCGCAGTACAAACCAAACGCCGTAACAAGAATCAAAGTATTTTTTTAATGCTCTCATCATATATAGACTTTATGAAAACAGTGATAAGGGAGTAAAAGAGTGACATTCGATGTACTTCATTGTTAGTTTCTTTAATCTAAAGTTTTTACCCCCAAAAAACATTTTTCTTTTTTTACCTTTTCAAATACTAATTAAGCAAAACCATATTTATGTTTTGATGTTCTAGTAATCCCAAATAGCAAACAGTATTAAAAAGCCACACCAAACGAAGGCGCAGGACTCGCAGGATGATAAAACTGGAGGACCAGTTAGAAAAAAAAGTGATGAAAAACAACTTTTATACTCTTATTTATAAATTTTCCCTTTGTCTCCTGATGAATACATTATTGTCTTTTCTTTCTGAAAACCCTTCTGCATTTTTCTGAGGTTGACCACTTAAGAAAAATGTTGGTTGATCTTGTGACGTCACTGTGTATTGTGCTCCTCAGCAGAAAATTGGACTTCACTTTCAAAACCAGTCTCCTCCTGCTGCTGGAAACAAGGCTAACATCAGCAAAATCATAAAAACAACACTAAAACTGAGTGTCAAGAGAAAAACAAGTGGGTAGAAAAGAAATGAAACTAAATACCAAGAGATAATTGCTTGAGTAATTTGTTATTTTAACAGTATGTCTCAGTGCAGCTTTTATTTTGAAATATTCTTATAGACTGTGCTAAGCTACGGCGACGTCTGGCTGAAGAACTTAGAAATAATTAAATTTAGAAAAACTGTAAAAAATGAGACATCTAGTTGGACCATTTGAAATCCTAAAAGTCTGCTCATTACTCGAGGAAACCCAGAAACAAGATAAAAGAAATGAATTTCAAACTTTCCCTGAATCTTACTGATGAATATGACACTGTTAACACAGCAACAACTTAATGTGAATAATTTTAGATAAAAAATGTCAGTGTTGTGTTTTCAGATTGTTACTGCGGTACTTCCTTCTTTTTATTTACCAGAGTTGAATTATAACCATGACATCACTATTCTGGGGTCTTTTAAGGTCACGTGTTTGGGCTGAGTGTTGATGGTTAACAATCGGGCTGTTTCATGACTGTTCGGCGGTCGGCAGGAGCTTCCCACCTGTTTCCCACCGCGGG